TAGGATTGCTGGATCATATGGCAGATCTATGATTAGTTTTTTAAGAAGCCTCCATATAGTTTTCCAGAGTGGTTGCACTAGCTTACATTCCCACCAGCAGTATATGAGGGTTGCTTTTTCCCCACATCCTCACCAACATTTGTTGGTGGTGGTGTTTTAGAAAAAGTACTTATTTCCTCGAGCTTTCTTCATCTATAAAATTAGGTTAAGCAGGGCTCACACCTGAATCCTAGCTACTCATGAGGCAGAAATCAGGAGGATTGCAGTTCAAAGCCAGCCTAGGCAAATAGTTTGCAAGACCCTATTTCAAAAAAAATCCTTCACAACAAAAAAGGGCTAGACCCTGAGTTCAAACCCCAGTACCTCAAAAAAAAAGAAAGAAAGAAGTTAGGTTGAAAATAGCTATGCCATAGGATAATTTTAAGTATAAAAATAAGCTGGGATGTGTGGCATACTTAGACACAATGCCTGGTACATTGTAACTTCTCAGTAAAAGGAACTGTAGGATGTATGCTGCTAGTGGTGGAGCTCACCTGAACCTCTCAGGAGCCTTGCTTATGTTAGTTTGTTCATATGAGATTCTCTCTCCACATCCTAGCCCTAAATACTCCAAGGCTGTGGCCCCAGTCTGTGAGTCCTGTCCTGCTCTAAGCCTTTACCCATCACCACTGTCCTCACATACCACTGGCGTCTATTCCAGCGAAACCAGACATGGTAACTTCACGAGGAGGAAACAAACTTAAAGGGACTGTCTCATACTCTGAAAGCATTCCAAGTCCACCCAGACCAGGTGGAAGTAATCTCTATGACTTGAGAGATATATGTGACCAAATTTAACCTTGCTTGCTAGAGTGTAAGAATCCAAGACTTTCTGCTACACCTCAGTGCCCTCCAACTCAGCCTATGAATGTTAGATTGAGTTTAGAGAAGAGGCAACCCATTCAGAGCTGGAATATGAGAGTTTGAAAGGCCTCTGCCATGTTTGATGGCTCATGCCTGCAATCTCAGCACTTGGGAGGTCAAGGAAGGAGAATCATAACTTCGAATTCAGCATAGGCTACATAGCAAGACCCTATCTCAAAAAACAGACAAGGCATATGAAAACAAAAACAAAAACAAGGCATACGAACCTAGTCCTTTTGTCCACTGTTGATGCCATGTCTCCTGGCTCTGGGTGTGGAAGGCCCCTTGCCTTCTACTTCCCTTCCCCACCAACACTCTCACAGACTCTTTGCTCTTTCCTGTGAAGACATTTCATGCTCCTAATATTGAATTTAGAGGAGTTTTTTAGAAGTTAGAATCTGAAATTAGACACAGGAGGGGTGGGAATGGGGGGAACAGATCCAACTGCAGATGATACATAGACACCCCCCATTAACTGTCTGTGCAATGAAATGAATAATGAATGAATGAATGAATGAGTTAATGTTCTTCTTGGTCTTATGAGCCAGGAAGCCCAGTTACCAGAAACTAGGGAATCTCAGACATGAACTGGGTGAGTGGATGATGAAGACCGTTGGACTAGAACTCCAGAAATCCCGTCTGCTAGTTTGACACCTAGAAACTTGAGGTTCTGGGATGGAGAATTTAAATGTTGCTCCTCTGGCCCCTGAACTTGAACATGGGACTCCCAGCATGTCGAACACCAGCCAACAGAAGTATGAGGCTAAGTAAGCAAAAGAGCATTTAGCTTTCAGCCTATTATAGCAATTACATTGATCTCTTCTGAGCTGCATTTTCAACTGCTGTTTACCAACTTGGGAGGAGGAAATCAATGGTGGTGGCTTGTTTGGGTGGTAGCTGCGGAGGGGAGGAGCTGTGGCTGCCCTGGAGCACAGCCACCTCAGAACACAGGAATCCCTTCTCTAGGTTTCTGGCTCTACCTTTCATTAGTCATTTTATAATGACACCTACAGGTTTTTTTTTTCTTCTTTTAAATGAGGTATATTTTTTACAGTTAATATGCATTACCTCACAATAAGAAAAAATAAAGCATTTTAAAATATCAACAATAAAATGCAAATGTCATAATGTCCATCCCTACTTAAAATTCTTCCAAGGCTTGGCGTACTGTCACAGTAAAGTCCAGGTTCTTCAGGATGGCTTATAAGACCCTACTTCTTCCCACTTCTCCTCTGTTTCATTTTCTTGCCCTTCTCCCCAGAGTACTATCCTCCTGCTTTGCATCTGGACCTTCACAAGGCACTTCCAACTGTCCAAATGCTTTTCCTTGTTGGCTCAATCATATTTGGTCTCAATTTAAATATCTCTTCTTCCCAGAGTCTTCTCTGATCTCCATTCCCAAGCCTAAGTGGAGAACACCTGCTGTCTGCATTCCCTACACCCTGGACATAGCCCCTGCCGGAGCCTGACCTCAGTGTGGTGCAAACATTACATAGTAGGCTCTGCAGCTCAGTAAACAAATGTACCTTTCTTGTTCTCTGCTGATTCCCCAGTACCTAGGACAATGCCTGTCACTTAATAGACACTCATTTAAATGTCACTGGAAAAAATAAAGCGAATTACACTCAGCTGTTAGAGTTGGAGGGGCTCTTAGAGATCATGTAGCCTCGTGTCCTCTGACAGTGAGACCCAGAAACACAGAGCCGGGTACTAATTCCAGGTACTCTACTGAATTGCTGTGTGACCTCAGAAAATGCCTTCATCCTCTGGATCTTAGTCTCTCCAGCTTTATCTGGCTTTGCCTACTCCTCTTTCTGTGCTGGGTCACTGGTAGGTGCACTGGCTAAGAGGACAGGTGGAACAGTGCAAGATAAACAGAAGATGGGCTTCATCCTTTCAAACTGTTGCCCATAGAGTTGAGGAGGTAAGATGCACACAGTGAGGAAGGGTCTGTTCAACATTTCTGGTGACTCTGTCTTGCTGGGACATAAGAAAGCTCAGGGATAGCTGGGGACAGCAAGGCCCCTGCAGGAGATAAGGCTTAAGCTGAGGGGCAGACTGTGCCTAGGCAATAAGGACAGAGCACCCACAGCACAGGCCTGACCCCCTGCACCCATGGCAAAATGCTAAGTGCTCCCTAGAGGGTGAGCCCAGCAAATCCCCAGCCCAGGCCTGTGGGTGAACACGGTCCTCAGCCTTTGCATGCCTGTTCCCTTCCCCTCACTGTGGGAATCTGGATGTTTGCTTGCAGGGCTTTCGTGACAATTAAATATATGTGACAGTATCTAGACTGGTGCCTGGTGCCTACCAGACCATTTTAAGAAATGTCACTTTCTTTTCTTCCTTCCAGCTACATAAACAGTTTCAACATGTCACTGGCAAGAACATCAAAAGTAGAGCTGGGGACTGGGGACTGAAGGGTATTTTAGCCCAACTATTCATAGTCTGTTCACTTTTATGTGACTTTCCCAGTGCCTCGTCATAGTAACTAACACACACACTCCACATAAGATCAGAAGGAGAAGAGGCCAGGTTTGGAACCATCCATTATCATCAGCAGATAAACAAAGAACCAACATCATAGGCCTGGCCTAAACTTCCTCCCCCTCCACCACGGGACTTACTAGATAGGAGATTGTGAGCTCAAATGCCACTTTCTACGGAGCTGGAGGGAGAGGCTTCAATTAAATTATAGAAAAATCCTATAAAATACCTTGGAATAGCTATTGGAGCTATTGATATTTCTACCACAGACAGAACAAGGCATGTGCCATGGGAGGAATCGGGTAGGGGGAGGGTGAGCATGGGAAGGTTGTTTTAGTTCACCCCTATTGATGACAGATCGGCTGACTAATGAAGGTTTAGAAAAAGCACCCCCAAAAAATGTTACATGGCATCATTTATACAGTACTTCAGGGAAGGAAAAATAGCTGGCCCTCAGGCGTGGACATTATTTCTTGAAGGAAAGCATGCAAAGTCAGGCTTGAATGAGGTCATTCATCTTTAGGGGAACAGGCTTTTTTTGGGACTCTGACACAGAAGCTATGCCCTTCTTCCTTTTGAAACACAAATATACCCAAATTCTACTTGAAGTGCTACAGTATCGCTGGACATCAGGTTCATAATTCCTCTGTAACAAAATAAAACCTTTCCTGATGAAATATTTCTGTTTTTATGGGCTATTTCTTTTTATGTTTTTTTTTGGGGGGGGAGTTGAACTCTGGGCCTCACACTTGCTAGGCAAGTGCTCTACCACTTGAGCCAGTCTGCCAGTAGAATAAGTACACTGTAATTTCATCAGAGAAACACGAACTTATCACTGCCTTTAGAAGCCAGGAAGATGTGACCCCACAACATCTATTAAACCTTCCCAAGTCATTAACACCTGGCCCTAGAAGGTTATAGAAGGCTGGTATTAAAACAGAGTGGTATGAACTCTAAGGTCAGCAGAACACTCTAGAATTCTTACCCATCTTTCCTTCACTGCTTGGGAGTTGTTATCTTCAGGCAGACTACTCAGACATCAGCTTTTCCTTTTTCCTTTTATTCCTTTTGTCTATCTAGATCAGAAACTCTTACAGTTATAAGAATAGCTATATCATTGGCTTGATGATGAAAAAGATATTATTTCTCTTATCTAAAAAACACAAAGCTGTCTAGTGTAGTGACACATGCCTGTAATACCAGCACTTGGGAGACTGAGGCAGGAGGATCTCAAGTTCAAGGCTAGACAGTGAGAACCCATCTTTAAAAAAAAAAAAACTCATGGAACAAACAAGACAACTATTAATAGAATGATGAAAACATATATATTAAACTAGTCTTTAAACTTTATTTAAAATTTTCTTCAAAAAAAAAGAATAACATTTAAATAACCTAATCTTAGAGTAGTGTACTTAGCCAAGGCATTGAGAGGATCATCAGGGGTAATGTGGTGCCTGATGCAGACTCTACATCTCATCACCACATGAGGTACAACTACACTCAACCTCCTCCAGGAGGGGTTTTGGGGTGCACTGGCCAAAAGCACCTGGGCCCTCAGAGAGTTGGCATGTCAGGGCCTAACCCTGCCCCCGCCTCCTGTCTCTCTGCTGTAGGACTATAGGGTCAACATCTTTCTGCGGCAACAGTGGAATGACCCCCGTCTGGCCTACAATGAATACCCAGATGACTCTCTGGACCTGGACCCATCCATGTTGGATTCCATCTGGAAACCTGATCTGTTCTTTGCCAATGAGAAGGGGGCTCACTTTCATGAGATCACCACAGACAACAAACTGCTAAGAATCTCCCGGAATGGGAATGTCCTCTACAGCATCAGGTGAGTTCTAGACAGCTTCGCCCCTCCCTCCTCAGAAAGTGCCTTGCCCCACTGCCTTCTGGGAGCAGACACTAAGTGGGGGACCAAGCAGCCGGAACAGACCTTGCACCTGATACCTACGCAGTGTAGACCGACCCTGCTCTGTAACTCACACCCAGCAAGAAAGAATAAAACACCACGGGGAGTCCTGGGAGCAAGTGGTCATCTATAACCAAGGGGAGGCATCCTAGGGAAGGGGGAGTTTAAGCTACCCAGCATTTCACCACAATACAAGACAGAGTATTCAAACATGGTGACCAAGAGCCTGGAAAGTCAAAGCAAATTTAGGGTAATGGGACTGCCAGGGGCATGCCACTGCTCAGGAGGCTAAACCAGGCTTCCCCCCATAAACTCCTGGTACCCCACATGCCTTGCATTGAGTCTGGGAGATGGAACCCCTGCCCCAACTGTGGGGTATCCTACAGTGTTTAGGGGCAAAGCTTTCAGAGTGTCCTGCCACTCTCCCCACTTACTCCCTAATCTCCTCCCCCAGGGCATGGGGACAATGGCCAATGTCTAAGAGGCAAAGAAATGGCCTTTCACATGCACTCACAACAGCCTCCATCCACTGAGGATTTACTCATCCTATATTATATCAGCCCTTTAGACAGCTCTGTAAAGTAGGCTTGCTTATGCCCACTTTGTACCTTAGACAAGAGGGAATCTGAACATGTAAGGAACTGGCCAAAGCCCCACAGTTAGTAAGCAGCAGAGCCTACATTCTCCTCAGTGTGGGCATGGATCTGACATCATCTCAAAACCCCCAGAACGGCCACAGCACTCAATAGCTACCCAAATACATGATGAATGGATGAATGGTTTTTTTTGTTCGTTTAGTTGTCCTGGGATTTTGAACTCAGGGCCTTGCACTTGCTATGCAGGCACTCTACCACTTGACCCATGCCTCTAGTCTTTTTTTTGCTACAGTTGTTTTGGAGGTAGGGTCTTGCTTTTTGCCCACACTGACCTGGAATGTGAGTCATCCTCCTATTTTATGCTTCCTGCCATAGCTGGGATGGCAGGTGAGTGCCACTACTCCCAGTTCTTTTCCATTGACATGGGGTCTGAACTTTTCGTCTGGCATAGCCTCCAACCTTGATCCTTCCCAACTCAACCTCCTAAGAAACTAGGATTACAAGCCACCTGCTCCCTGATAGATGGATTTTTTTTTCTCTTTTGTATTTGGCAGCACTGGGGTTTGAACTCAGGCTTGCTAAACAGGCACTCTACCACTTGAGTCACCCACCCCCAGCAGCTGCTTTGTGTGTGTGTGTTGGAGTGGGGAGGCAGTACTGGGGTTTGGATTCAGGGCTTCATGTTTGTTAGGCAGGCAGGCACTCCACCACTTGAGCCACGCCTCCGGCTGGATGAATGTTTTTAAAGAGCTTAAAAAGACACTGGTGCTAAATGCCCATCTACCATTCAGTTCCTCAGGAGAGGAAATCTCACTCCCATTAGAAGATGAGTCCAGATCAGTGGAAGAGGCTTGCCTATCCTGACTCTCAGGTGTGGCTGGGCTCAGATTCCCACGAGTGCAGGCTGGGGAAGGGGCATGGAACCTTCACCACTGATAGGTGGATTGAGGAACCAACCAGAAGTTCCTGCCCTACCAAAACACCTAGATGAGGATACAATGGCAGAAAATGGCCACCAAGGTCTTGCTGGAGGCAGGGAGAGGCCACTCCGCTTGCTGCTGCCAGGCTAGTTTCACATGGCCAGGAAGCTAAGTCCCAGTGCAGTATGACAAGACAGAAAGTGATGTTCGCAAGGTCATTCAACTTCAGGAAATTAACCCAGTGTGACAGTTGCCCCACTTTGGAGCTTTTATCTTAAGAACCTCAGTGCCTTCACTTGTCCCCTTCTCAGAATCCCTTCTCCTTCCCCTGCTTTTTTTCCCCTCCCACTTCTGGTTTGCACTTAAAGGGGACACAGGAAGAGCTGTGGGTATGAGCTGGAGAGAAGTCCACAAAGGGCCATGAGCCTTGTCATGTACAGCTGAAGGGTGGCCACTAGGTTCTACTAAGACCTCTCCAATTGGCTACCTCAGGTATGGGGCTGTCCCAGGACAAGCACAGGAGTCAACCCGTGTAGGACTGAGAATTCAAAGGCTAGGAGACATGGACTTGAATCCTGACTGGGCCATCTTCTTGCTGTGTGACCTTGGTTAGGTCCCAGCCTATCCCGCTTGGCATGTCTGTCCCACCTGTCAGATGAGGCCTGATGGTCTGACTGCCTTTCTTCTCCACTCCCTGCATTGTGCACTTTGATGTAGGCAAAGCCTTTCAAGCTGGAGCCTTGAATCCCAGGCTGAGCGTCAGGCCTCCAACATTGCTGAATGCACTCCCTCAGGCTCCTGTTACACAGGTTGAACAACCCAAAATAAATAGCTAGCCCAGAATTGTGGGGAACCCATCACTTTTACCACCCCAGCATGAGCCCACAGATGTGAGTCAGCTGCATGTGAACACCAGGCAGGCAGGGAGCCTCTCTGAACTCATTCCAAGGGGTCCTAAGTATGAAGGAAGTCAGCCACTAACCACATGCATGCTGCTGGGGCCAGGGCATGCCTCAGGCCTGGGCAGCTCGACAGGTCCACCTGAAGGATCTTCAGACAAACAGAGATAGGGCAGCCCCTGGCCTCCAGGCAACCTGCTAAAAACTGGTCTCTAGCAGCCAGACCCAGGAGTTGCTCTGACTCTGTGTGACTTTAGGAAGCCCTACCTCCCTCTCTGAGCCTCCATTTCCATATCAGGAACTTGGGAATGTACATGAACGTATTCAGTAAGCCCTAGCTCCCTGCCCCCTTCCCAATCCTGGACGACTGATTTTCTGCTGGTAACTAGAATGGAGGCCCAGCCTTCCCTCAGTGTGGACTCAGCATCATTCAACTCCCCTTTCTTCCCAGAATCACCCTGACACTGGCCTGCCCCATGGACTTGAAGAATTTCCCCATGGACGTCCAGACATGTATCATGCAACTGGAAAGCTGTGAGTCCCTTGCATGAATCCTCTTTAAAGAACTAGGCTCCTGTTTACTTGTGGGCCTGGCAGAAATTCCCTAATCGCTGGACCCCGGGAGATCACTGTGATAACTCAAAGTGCTAGATGAGGGTGTCGCTTTTAGAAAATATCTTAGAGCTATAACTCCCATTGCATTACTGAGGCCCAAGCGCTGATATCAGCAGCATCTCCACAGCGGTATTTTTCCATGTCCCTTGTGAATGTGCTCACAGGAATGGAGGGAAATGGCTGGAGTGAGTCATGGTCCTTGGACCCACGGGGGTGCTCACTTCAGCAGGGGAAGTAGGTGATCGAAGTGTGTTAGTATAGAACAGTTGTGCATGGTGTTGCATGCCTGTAATCCCAGCACTAAGGAGGCAGAGGCAAGAGGATTCTAAGTTCAAGGCCAGCCTGGACTACATAGCAAGACCCTGCCTCAAATAGGAAACACCATAGCCTCGTGGTAGAAGAAGTAATTTCTTAAGATGGGAGAGCGAGTACTGGAGAGAGCATTATGGAGGACTGGGATTCTGACAGATAGGGTAGCTGACTTCTTTCATGACAAACACAGAAACCAGTCTGAATAACTAAAAGTACAGTGACCCAGCAGGAGCACGAGGTGGCATGAACTAATGGGCCATCTCCTTGGAGCCCCACCTCTGTGGGGGGAAGCAGCACCAGCCAGTTCCAAATCTTCCTTACTTCTCTTAGGAGTCAAGGTCCTGGGGCAGAGAATCTGGTGGCCTGGCTTGGTCACCATTTCACCTCTAACCCCCGCTCAGCAGTTAGTCCCACCAAGAGAGCAGGTAATAGATACCTTCCCCAAGGGAAAATCTGCTGTGATCAAAAAAGGAGGCGGGAAAGGATGGTATAGAAAAACACTATGTCAACCACACTTCCCCACAGGGTGATGAGTCCCCCACCAGGACAAGCCAAGGAAGGGACAGAGGTGCAAGGGCTGTGGAGTGGATGGAAAACAGTTCAATCAGTTTGCCCGCCTTTCAGAGAGGAAGAAAAAAGCAACACAGTCTCAGTCTCCTGAATTCCAGGGAGGGTCTGTGTTTCTCTCTGCCTCTAACAAACGCTCCTAATGGTGACTGAGCTTTTTTCTGCCCCCACCCCAGTTGGCTACACCATGAATGACCTCATCTTTGAGTGGCAGGAGCAGGGAGCCGTGCAGGTGGCTGACGGACTGACCTTGCCTCAGTTTATCCTGAAGGAAGAGAAGGACTTGAGATACTGCACCAAGCACTACAACACAGGTGGGTGTAGTGGCCATTGTCCTTGAATCCCGCCCCCACCCAAGACTCCAGGTCTTTTCAAACAGCCATTCAGTCATTGATTCCACAGAGCTTACACAGTGCCCATCATGAGCACTGCTCTGCATTTATTACCTAGTGGTTAAGAGAACAGGTTTTGAAACCACAAAGTGCCTCTGAAATTTTCTTCCTGACTACTGGCGCTGGTAACTTAAGCTTAGACCACATCTCATACAAGGGAAAGCTGGTAAATACCAGTCTTTATTCTGGTAGGAATCCTAGTCTAAGGCAAGGTGAAGAATGGCTACTGGAGCCAGGCACTTGTGGGTCACGCCTATAATCTTAGTTATTCAGGAGCCAGAGGTTAGGAGGATCATGGTTCGAAGCCAGCCTGGGAAAACAGTTTAAGAGACTATCTCGAAAATAATCAGCACAAATCAGGGCTGGTGGAGTGGCTCAAGCAGGAGAGTGCCTGCCTAGCAAGCATGAGGCCCTGAGTTCAAACTCTAGTACCACCAAAGGGGAAAAAAAGAATGACTATGGGGGAGGTCTGACACAGAACTCACACTTAGGGTGAGCAAAAGTAGAGAAACACTCACATTTGACCTCAGCAAGAGGGAACCCAGAGGCACTGTGGAAGCTTTGTAGCTAGTTGAAGAGGGTTCACTAGCCTGGGAGCCAGAGTGGAGCAGAAAACTGCAATTGCTTAGCTCAGCTCTCTACTACCCATGACCAACTCAGCCTTTGTTGGAAGCTGAATTTGCAAATGTTCAGGGGTTGATCAGCTTTGCACGCCCTGTCTCTGACTGGGAGTTCATTGAGTTGGCATGCCAGCTGGCAGGCTGCTAGGAAGCTGCTGTCTGAACCCACCTGAGTACAGGAGAGATGTAGAGTAGACTAATGACAGGCCATGGAAAGGAGGTGACAGAGAGGGACCAAGAGAAACCAATGCAGGCTCTGTTACAAATCAAAATCCCAGTAAGAAAGCAAGCAAGCTACCCTTGGGTCATATCAGAGAAGTTCCAGAATCTCCACAGATCCTCTTCATCCCTGGGAAAGCTGAGCCTCAGAAAGATGATGGGGCTCCAACTATCAGCCAATCACAACTGATCCTCACATGCCACAACCCTACCATCTGTACTGCCATTTTCTTTTGTAATTTGGCTTTCCTGAGGTATGACAAATAAAATATAAAGCTGTATATATTGAAGTTATACACCTTGATGTTTTAATATATGTAGACATTGTGAAATAATCACCACAATCAAGCTAATTTACATCAGTCCATTTACATATCTACCATGGGTGGGTGTGTGGGAAGGCAAGAACACTTAAGATCTACCCTCTAGGCAAATTTCAAGTACATGGTATAGAGTGGTTAACGCTAATCACACTGCTGTACATTCCATCTCCAGAACTTACTCATCTTGCATAACTGAATCATTGTACCCTTTAACCAACATCTCTCCATCCCCTCCACCTCCTCCCATCCTAGCCTCTGGCAACCACCACTCTACTTTCTACATCTATGAATTACTATTTTATATTCTACAGAGAAATAGATCATGCTGTATTCTGAGCTGGCTCATTTCACTTAGCATGAAAATGTTCCTCCAGGTCCATCCATGTTGTTCCAAATGGCAGCATTTCCTTCTTTTTAAGCCTGATTAATACTCCATTTTTTTTTATCCATTCATCCATTGATCCAGCAATACCACTTCTGGATATCTATTTAAAGAAAATGAAATAAGTATTTCAAAGTGGTATCTGTGCTTGTACATTCTCTACAGACTTAGTCACAATAACCAAGATGCAGAAACAAATGCACTCTGAACTTTCTCCTTCATTTTCTCTTTGCTCTTTAACCTTTCACATTTAAGTGAGAGCTGAGCTCTATGCATGGCCTGTGGATACAAGGAGAAGGACTGACAAGGTCCTGTCCACACAGGGTTGATAGTCCAGGTTGCTGCAAGAAGTTCCCCTACTTAGTGGGCTTTGGTGGACAATAACCAAGACCTTGCCATGGACTGGCCCCTCTGGTTTTGTTATGGAGATTTGGTAGGACCTCCACTCAAGTTTGGTGGCTAGGTGTTTAGCCAGAGGGGGGATTGGCACGGTTCTTGTCTCACCAAGCCAAAGAATGAACTTCACAGACAAGGTGAGCATAGAGATAGGAAAGTTTATTTAAGGGAAAGAATGAAAGTCCAGCCGGAGGGATCCTGAGTGGGTTGCCAGGGAAGTGACATGGTCTGAGGTTTTTATCTATTTTCTCAAGCTCTATGCTAATTAGGTGTGCAGAAAGCAGCATTGTGGTATGCTGTGCCTGCAGCGTTCTGTTGGTTGGTTCTGATCCCACATGTCCGTCCTGCCTTTCCTTTCCACACTTAAGGTGGACAGGGAGGTCATAATGGAGGTTTCCAGGGACCCTCTGTCTCATTCCCCGCCCCTCTGAAGAAGTAACCCTAACGGCTGTTAGGGAAAAGGGGCAATGACCACTCTTTGGCTGCTTTGAGCTAGAAAAGGGCGTCAGTAGGGGACAACAGTCAGGGCCTTCTCACAGAGGCCTATCTAAGGGTCCCTTGTAGATGGAGGCCATTATTTGAGCCTTCTGTTTTTAACTTAAACTTAAGAGGTGGCAAGGGAAGTTTAGTTGGTAGGAAATTTAGTTGATGGGTTGTCCAGACCAGGACCAGAAGACATCCAGTTATTTTTTACTAAAAGAGAAATTAGTGAGAACCATCCTTTAAAGTGAAAAAAAAGTTTTTATTTGTGGATAAAACCAATAGGATCAAGAAGAATCATTAAAGAGGGCGGGGAGGGGGGGAGAAATGACCCAAACATTGTATGCATGTATGAATAAAAGAAATAAAATAAAAAAGAATCATAAAAGCATTAACGAAAATTAATGAAGACTGTAGATTGAACATTAAACCATCTGCCATCCATAGAAACAGTGTAGCAGGATCAAGAAGAATCATAAAGAGGGGGGGGGGGGGGAGAAATGACCCAAACATTGTATGCATGTATGAATAAAAGAAATAAAATAAAAAAGAAGAATCATAAAAGCATTAAAGAAAATTAATGAAGACTGTAGATTGAACATTAAAACCATCTGCCATCCATAGAAACAGTGTAGCAGGTACTCCCTTTGTTGTCTATTTTAGGTGGTAATAGTCAAGTTACGGTTACTCTTTGGACAAACTTTTAATTGAGTAAATGTGAACCCATGGAAGCATATAAAAATGAGCCATAGGCTGCAGAACTTTCTCCTCTTTGAATAAGAACTTTTATTAGTTCCATGGATGCACAGACAGAGAGGGGATAAACTTCCCACTCTATGCTGAAGACAGAGAAGAAGAAGAAACAAGTTTTGCCCACTCCCTTCTTGTACTTTGCCCTAAAGGATCTGACTTCATGTGAGCAGAGCTGAGGGAACATGGGGAAAGAGGCATTCTACCTGGGGGACTGCCCGCTGAACGCTGAAATGCCATGGAAGAGAAGGAGGCATTTCCCTGGCTAGGTGTGGGAAGGATTTAGGGCAATCCCAGCAGAGGGACTGGCAAGGTCCAGAGGCTCAAAAGTGTGATGGGGCAGCGACATGCTGCAGGCAAGCAGTGGCTGTGGGGAGGGTACTAAGAAAATCGTGGAGACCAGGTCAGAACTCAACTGTGACGGGCAGACTAAAGATCCTGACTTTTTCCTGTAACCAATAAAAGGTCCTTCTACAAGAAGAGGAGGAAGACATGAAAAGTTCTTCAATATGTGACAGGACTCAGTCACGTATTGGAGACAGCTGGCAGAAGGATAGGGGAAGCTCCACTTAAGCCACTCTTATCAGCAGAAACTGGTGATGTTGATGGTGATGATTGGTGACAATGATGGCAAATAACAACCTGAGTACTTATGAAGTATAGACTGGGCTTAGATCTTCATAAATACCATCTCATTTTATCTTCACAATAACAATAGGAGTAGCCAAATGAAGTAGGTATTATTTTTATTGCCATAATTCCTTGGTATCCACAGGGAATTGGTTCCAGAACCCACCTTGGATACCAAAATTCAAGCATGCTCAAGTCCCTTTATAAAAGGGTATAGTAATTTACATATGGCTGATGCAAACCCCTTGTAACACTTTAAATTATCTCTGATAACTTGCATACTAGTCAATGTAAATATTATGAAATAGATTTACTGTATGCTTAGACAATGATAACAAGGGGAAAGTCCATGTATGTTCACTACAGACACATTGCTTTGAATACTTTCTACCATGGTTGGTTGAATCCATGATGGATACAAAGAGCTACCTACATTATCTCAAGTTTATCCCACATGAGGAAACTGAGGTCCGGAGTGATTTCAAGCACTTGCCTAAGGACACAGCTAGTGTGAGGCTGAACCAGGACTCCAACTGAGGAGTTGCTCTCACCCTAATCCTTTGGTCCCTATCCACAGGCTACATCACCTCACTATAATTTCTTGCAGGTAAATTCACTGCATCGAGGCCCGGTTCCACTGGAGCGGCAGATGGGCTACTATCTGATCCAGATGTACATTCCCAGCCTGCTCATCGTTATCCTCTCATGGATTCCTTCTGATCAACATGGATGCGGCACAGCCCGTGTGGGCCTGGGCATTCACCACTGTGCTCACCATGACACACCAGAGCTCTGGCTCCCGACATCCCTGCCCAAGGTAAGTGCTACTGCCTGAGAGTTCAGAACACCGGCAGAACATCTCCCTACCCTGCCTGAGATGTGGGGAGCATAAGGATTTTCACCATGCATTTGGCAACTGTACTTTGCAGGGGCCAGGATTCTGATCCATCGGTCCTTCCACCACACTCAACCACACATTCTGTACAGCTGCTGGACACCGCCTCTGCTCCTTTCCCCTCCAGCATCACACACACATTCTGCTTCATTAAAATTCAACTTTGGCCAGGCGCCAGTGGCTCATGCTCATAATCCTAGCTATTTGGAAGGCTGAGATTGCAGTTCAAGCCCAGCCCAGATAAATGGTTCCTGAGATCCCATCTCCAAAAAAACAACCAGAGCAAAAACGGACTGGAGGCATGGCTCAAGTGATAGAGCACCTATTTTACGAGCTCAAAGCCTGAGTTCAAACCCAGTCCCACCATAAAAGAAAGAAAAAAAAAAACTCAAGTTTGCAAAAACAAAATGAAACAACTGCAATGGTACATGTTTGTAGTCCCAGCTACTTCAGAGGTTAAGGTAGGAGAATTGCTTCAGCTCAGGAGTTCAAGGCCAGCCTGGAAACATAACAAGACCCCCACACACACACACACACAAAAAGAAAAACCACTTTAAACACTCAACTTCTCAATCCTACTCTATTCATTTTAGAGCTAAGTACCCCGGACTGCGCCTTTCACTATTGCTGGTGAATACGTTAGCTCACAAAACCAATTCCCATGTTGGAGATTTGTACAAGGAGTCAGAGGACTCCGTG